GGGCTCAGAATTTGCGCCTGTTTGTGCCATGTTTCACGGGCCCTGCTATCATCAACATCGAACAAGCTGCATGTGATGTGCGTCTATAAGCTTCAGCTTAGAGACAGAAAGAAAGCAAAATAGACACTGCAAAGGGATATGCAAGTTGATTGGGTGTTATTCCATGCGGTCGTAAATGAGGTAAGGGTGCATTAGAGTGAGAGTGTCTGATAGATTTTTGTCGGATGTCTCACGCGAACGAGAATCCAGACAAAGCCCACCCACGATGTCTCTTTGACTTGCAGATGAGTTCACTGCACCCACGAACAAAAACTAGAAGACATGGGAATGTGACCGATTCACTCTGATATTTACCGCAAAGGTTTTGAAGTTCAAGCGGTCCGCTACAAGCGTTTCCCTGCGACAACGATGAAATGCACGCTGGAATGGAGGATGTCCAATATCACTCCGCTACAAGTGTTTGGCTCCACCAACAAGCAAGTGGCAAAATTCAAGCGATACCCAAACATGTTCCTGAGAATTCCTGAGAACCGTGTAAGCCGATCAGTGCCATGCGTGCACGACGTGCTGGTCCTCGAGCGAATGGGAAAAACGGGAATGAGGTGATGTCCAGTGTCGCCAGTTTTGGAGGGTGAAAGGCTGGAATAGACCACCAGGCGTGGTGAACCGGGCTCCAGGTTTTGACCCCCAGCCTGGCACGCGCCCTTTTTCCTCTTTGGCACGCTGGCGGTGACTCACATGTCGAGCGAGGTGGCCGGGCCTGGGTCCGACACGTTCGGTGCGTCGCGGCGTTCGGTGAAAGCTGCAGCACCGAGCGTGGCTGCGGGTGGTCGCTGAGCCATGTGAGCGGGTCTCCACGTGCTGAGAATCCACATACACGTGCTTTGATGATTGAAGGAAGGGCCGTGGTCCACGTGCCTCCGATCTCTCATTGGACCATGGCAGGGGCCATTGGTGAGCCACCCTGCTATCAAAACTTGGCGTGCATGCTTTAGCTGTATAGGAATGACAGGGATGCTGCAGCAAACACAGCACGACAGAAGGATATGGATATCATTATCATGTTAAAGCATATCTCAAGTGGAGAATTTGGCTCCTGTGTCTTGGGGCTCATAGGAAGCAAGACTTTGACAGTGCAAACTCCCTGCGGATGGGAAAGGAGCGACCTGTAGGATGTCTCGTTGAACAAAGACAAGCCTGAAGAAAACGGCTGAGTCTCGTGTGGTAAGCGCTGTTTCCCTTCTGAACAATAAACATACCCATTGCATCCCCGATGGAATTTCCACTAGAGAATGACTGGCCTTGAGGCCACTATAAAAGAGCACTTTGTCATTGTAGTGAGATCTATTTTTGGGCAGTCATGTTGTAGCAATTTGACTTTTTGGGCAGCCCAGCCATTTTGGACAGCCCAGCCATTTTGCAGCCTGTTTGTGATTGATTACAGTCGATGATGTAACCAAAAAGCCGTAATACAAAGCGCGATAGACGTTGGGCAAGTCAATTTCTAGTTGGACCCGAGTTTTGCATTGCCGCTCACAGTGTATTTGCAAAAAAGTCCCCTTGCTGGTGTTGTAGGCCCCCTTCATTTTGTAGACCTGAAACTTGAGTCCGCTCATTTTCTAGACCCTAAAACTCACCCTCTACTACAAACTGCAATGTACAACCTCACCCAGTGAATTCACATGGAAATCCCATCGCAAAGCGAGATGGTGGGAGAATATAATTTAATGGCTTCCGCCCCTGTGTTTTGGGGCTCATAGCAAACAAGACACAATGAGAGGAGACTTTGATTTTGCAAACTCCCTGCGCTTGATGAGAAAGGAGCGACCTGTAGGATGTCTCGTTGAACAAAGACAAGCCTGAAGAAAACGGCTGAGTCTCTTGTGGTAAGCGCTGTTTCCCTTCTGAACAACAAACATACCCATCGCAAAACAAGATGGTGAGACAATTTGACGGCTTTATCGAACACATAGTCCCTCTTCCAGTGTATGACGATTCGGTGGCGAAATTGACTTGCAAGATCTCCTTGTGTTGAACAAGAGGAATGATGTTGGCCAGAAAAAGTTTATTGGCTCACAATGCGGCAGGGGTTGCATAGACATTGTATACAGAAGAAGGGCAACATCAAACATACCCATCACAAAGCAGGATTGTGATAGAATTTGACAGGGCTTTATCGAACACGGAGTCCCTCTTCAGGGCAGACAAGGACACCATCACACGCAAGAACATATAGTGCTGATTGTTTGGCTGATCAAGGCCTTCAAGGGCACTTCCCACATTGAGGAAACAGGCACTTGTCTTTGACTAGGCTGGCCGGTAAGTTCCGCCGTCGCACCATGTTTTGCAAAATAACACCCATACTTCAGGAGGAAGACTTCTGTTTTCTCTCTGACCAGGTCGAAAACAACATCTACGTGGATCAACAGCGGTCTAATTGTCCCGCGTGGCCAGTGTGAGACGGGGAAACGGCTTGTTACCCTCTGAATTGGTAAATTTTAAACGGCTTCGGAGGGAGCAAATTCGACCGTATCAAGTGAAATTAATGGCTTGCGGGATTCTGCGGGGAAAGGATTTTCACTTTAGAACCGTCAAGAATCAAAACTTTTGGACCAACCGTGGTGTATCTCATTTGCACCGCCGCAATCCAATACCCAATGTCAGTTGGTTGGCAACGAGCAAAAACCTAAGGCAGCCGACTTCGTGAGGTCCACCACTGAACGCAACACTGGAGATTGACCAAGAGTAGCGTCCTTGCTCGGTTCGTAGCGATGCCCTTTGTTACTAGTAGCTTCTTGCTCCTAGTAGTAAGGCCAGGAGCTACTAGTAGCGTCCTTGCTATGACCATTCGGCGGCGGAATTGATTTGCAAGCAGAGTTCCTGCTGGAAAAGAATCATGTTGGCCGGAAAGTCTTCTGGCGCAGAATGCAGCCCAGCCTGAAAGCCATGAAACGTTATATACAGAAGAAAGGCTTACCATAAAACATACCTGGTGGGATAACAGGGTCATCGTAGTCCCGTAGTCCCTCACGTAGTCCCTCGTTTTTTCGACGATGCAGCGCAATTGATGTGGAATTGCTGAACAGGACTGGTGTTGCCCAGGGAGCTTGGCTCAGAATGCGACCCAGGTGAACAATCTATGGTATGATCTTCCATTGTTTAGGGCAGCTTCCAAGCTTGCGGACAGCAAAGGGGCAGTGGTCTTTTGTGTGGAATACAGAAGAGCAACAGCAAAACATAGATGAGTGAGGGATGACAATGCATAGTCAGTGCGCCCGAGCCTCAAAACCTGGGTCGTTCTTCACTGAGTTGTACAGGATCATGTCAGGGGCACAAGATGATTTTTAGAGGGTGGCATGCCTTGTTCTTGTGAGTCAAGCCTGTGAATCTGTCCCGGCCCCGTCAACACTGTTCAAGCTGTCCCGCAAGCAGCAATTCAAGCTGTCCTGCAAGCACTCCCTAAGAGGACCTTCTTGAACAGCCAATGCGTCCCAGCGCAAGTTGCGTTTTTTGGAATTCACAGAAAGGTCGAGACGGGTGTAGAGTGATTTGAAATGGCTCGCAGACGATCACCCTGCGAAGGAAAGGAACTCAAAACTTCATAAAAAGATCCTAAAAGGTTAAAAAGGATCCTTCCATCGCCGACACCCAAGTGCTTTGCGACGTAGGCTCCCGTCGTCAGCGTCGTTTCTGAAGGTCGGATTCGTGTTGTGCGAAGTGCGAAGTGCATCCGTCGTTGGGCGTCATCTCCTGCGCTTGGAGGGTTGGCCAAGTCAACTCCAGGCTTGCGAATGGTTTTACTGTATGTGCACAGATGTTGACGCACATCTCTGGATGATGACTTAGATGGTTCCCCCGCAACACGAGATTAGGATGTCAGCGTCCAGAAATATCAGGTTTGGCTATCGCCCAAGCGGTTCAAGCAACAGCCGTTTTCGGCTTCACGATTTGTTCAGCTGTCAATGGGCATGTTTGTAGTAGTGATGGCGTGTTTGTTTTTTTGTCCTGTTCCACAGCCTCTTCGCTAGGTTGTTGTGCCTAAATGTTCTGAAAGGAAAGGCCATGCGAAGAAGAGACCTCTCACACACAATTGGCCGTGTGGCTGAGGAAGGATGAAATAAACCAATCCTCATCTGATGCCTGTAAAGCACATGTGCTTCCTGTCTTGTGGAGCAAGAAGATGTTAATCGCCAGTCAAGGATGCATTTCTCAGCCTAAGTTGTTTTCACCTTGCTCTTTTGATGATGCAGATTGGTTTTGCAGTGCATCGATTCCAAGCAAGAGACCTTTTTGGCTGCTACATAACGTGAAAAGGAAAGCTTCTTGTAGGAGCTATGTTTCCAGTGAAAGAGATGGCAACGGTCGGCAGACATGGAAGGTTGTCTTCTCATGTTTCTTCGACTGGCATGTTGCCCAGTGCCAGGCCTGGCTTTATTCACACATTTTTTCAGGAGCCCCTTTCACCAGGGGCCCGGTTGACCTCTGACATGCCTGACTTCCAATGAGCAACTCTGTATGGTTGACCCATGTTTCGGACCAATCCTGGAAGCTGCGGGAAGGCGTCCCGAGAAAGCCGATGCCTGTGTCTCTTTTCATCGTGGCACAAGCGTCGGAGTCAGGGTTGGCCAATCGGAAGCCTCAAGTTCGATGGGAAGAGGCCATCGCTATTAGGTTGGAGGCCATCGCAGAAAGAGGATGCAGCTTTGTGACGTGCGACCTGCACTCTTTCCGCTGCTTCAGCACTCTTTCCAGGAAGTGAACCAGAACCTCACATTTGCTTACTGTGTTTTGTGATGTTTTGTATGAAACCCTGGGTGCAACCACATGAATTCCAAGAACAAATTTGAGGTACAAACCTGCCATGTTGGAATTTCCATGTTCAGGGATCGAACAGCTTAACCTTCGATGTTGCACATGCGGGTGACGCCTTCTTCAAGTTGGGGAACGTCGAGCTTGAAGGCTAGAGATCTTCCACTTGACAAAA